ACAGCGGCAGGTGCAGACCCGCAGCCTGGGAGGCAGGGAGCCCGGAGGGGAGAAGGGGCTGTGGCCGGGGCCCAGGCCCCCTGACCCCCCTGGAGAAGGTCTGGCCCGTGGGTCACAGGTAACCCAAGGGCGTTTTAGTGGTGTGACCGCTGGCACCTGGGAGACTTGGAGCCGCCGGGCCCCGGCACAGCCCTGCAGCCCCCTGCCTGCTCCAGGGAGCACAGCTGAGCGCCGGCCTGGTGCCCTGGTGCCCTGTGCCAGCTGTCAGCGCACAGCCCTGCCCGCCGCTCCCCACTGCCATGCGGCCAGCTCCACGCCCGGGGAGCAACAGCTGCTCCTGCTGCTGAGGCCAGGGCTGCTGCGGCCACTTCTGGGACATTTTTTCCCCTGCCCTTCCCGCCCCCACACCCTGCGCCCCTCCCCGGCTCCCACTCCCTGCCCCCCAGGCCTCACCTTCTCCTTGGTGCGGGCCCGCCCTGGACCGCAGCAGCCCCAGCGTCCTCCCCACAGCCAGTGCGGGGGGGGGGGCCTGGAGTGCCCAGAGCCCCTGAGCCCGCCCTGGCATTGGAGGAAAACAGGAGGGACGCTGCACCCCAGGGCCACCTTTGTCCTAGCAGTGCTTCAGGCACTGGACTAGGTCAAGACACTCCTGAGATCTTGTTACAATGTAGCGTCGACCCAGCGGGGTCAGGACGGGACCTGCCAGTCTGGATTTCGAAACAGCTCCCAGCCAGGCAGAGTGGCTGCCGGGGACCCCAGTCTGAGTTGCAAGGTCCAGGGTCGCACACACACACCAGCTCAGGCCCGGCCCCCTCTCCCCGGCAGGGTCCCTGAGAGCGCTTCCCTTCGCTCTCCAGGCCTGGCTCGCCTTCCCCGAGAAGGGAGGGTCCCGGGGGCCGACCCGGGGTCTGCAGGGCAGGCTCACCCCGCTTGAAGTATGTCACCAACTTTGTTTTATTTTAAAGATTTTATTTATTTATTTTTAGAGGGGGAAGGGGGAGACAGAGAGAGAGAGAGAGAAACATCAATGTGCGGTTGCTGGGGGCCGTGGCCTGCAACCCAGGCATGTGCCCTGACTGGGAATCGAACCTGCGATGCCTGGTTCGCAGCCCGCGCTCAATCCACTGAGCTACGCCAGCCAGGGCAACAAACTTTTTTTTTTTTTAAAGCCAGCAGAAGATCAATATACAGATGCCACAGTGGGTATTTATTTGGAATGTCCTATGGGCTGAACTGTGTCCCTGCCCAAAGTCGTAGGTTGAAGTTTTCCTCTGTATTTGGAGGTGGGACCTTTGGAAGTTCACTGAGATCCAGGGAGGTCCCAGGGTGGCGGTGGGGACCTGGTTGTTCAGGACTGGGGGCCTCCTGGGAAGAGGAAGAGACACTCTCAAGTGTGCTTCAGACCAGGCTTTAATAATTTTTTTTAAAACAACACAGTACGTTATTGAAACAGGATGTGTGTATGTAAGCATCGCTGGCTGACAGCAGCCCTGCATTGTCATGGAGACACAACTCCGCTACCACAAAGCCCGTCACTTTACGTGTGTCATCCGGTGGTGACAGACAGACATCTCTGGTTGTGCGGAGTGGTGCGACCACCGCCACTCTGCAGCCTCAGAACGTCATCAACCCCGCTCCCCGAAGCGAACCCCGGGTCCGTGAGCACTTTCTCTCCCTCCCTCCCCCCGGAGACGCTGGAGTGTCTGCCATCACGCGCCCACGCCGGCTGTGATGCGCGCCCAGCACCGAGTTCCCCCGCGACCGTTCCACGCGGACGCGGAGGGATTGCAGCGTGCCGGCACACGCGCGCAGAGCTCGCTGCCAAGCGGCGGATGCGGGGAATGTGTAGGTCCGGCTCTCCTGCCACTACGTCCCGAAGCTTTTATTTTAGTCGCCAGCTGTCACCCTTGTCCCCCCCCTTGGGAGGTCACAGGAGGAGCGGAGCGGTCCCGTGGGCACAGCGAGGGGAGGCGTCGAGGCCCTCGGCAGAGACGCTCCGCCCTGAACTCCTGGGACGCCGACCTTTGCCCTCCGCCCACGCGCGGGCTGTGCAAGGGGGTTTAGGGTTTCTTGCAGCGTTTTGTGGAAAGACGAGCCTGCCCTGCACAGGCACCCACGCAGGTGTGACCAGAGAGGGTTTTCGGCCTGGGCCAGTGTGTCTTCTGCCTTCACGCCTGACTCTGCCTTTGGGAACTCGCGGGAGTTCTTTAAATCAGCCGGGGGCTCAGGGGTGAGCGTCTGTGCCCGCCCTCCGCGGGGGTTCGGTGGCGTTCGGCTCTGACGTCATTCCAGCTGACGTCATTCCAGCTGACGTCATCCCCCACACCAGGCTGGCCGGAGCGACGTCCGTCTCCTCTCCCGCCGCCCTGCCTGCCCACCCTGCTGCCTACCGTGGCTCCAGAGCGGCAGGACCCAGCCAACGGGCTGCAACGGCCGCAGTTTCCAAACTGTCAATTCAAGGCTCTGAAAATTGGTGGTCGTTGGGACCCTCCGAGGCCTCCTACCCAACGCGACAATTTCCTCCTTACATGGAGTCTGTGGGCTACACTCTGCACACAGGAGGGAAGGCTGGCTCTGGGTTCTCGTGTCCCCAAACACCTAGTGTTCGGGAGGGCTCCCGGCTGCCACCACGGTGTCTGCCTTCAGCTCCAGGCCAGTGGGGCATGGGGGGGTGGGGGGGGGCTGCGGCACTCCCGTCTCTGGAGGGGCCGAGGAACCTTCTGGAAGGAGTGCATCCTGCCCGTAGAGGGTGGGGAAGCGCAGGTTCTGTCGTCAGAGGGGGTCACACTCACTCCAGCCTGTGACCAGGTCCACACCCCTGGGGATGCCGCGGCTCTGGCAGACCCTGGAGGCCACGTCAGTGTCACGGTGCAGTGCGGTGTGGCGTGAGGAGGTCCCTGCGGCACGGAGACGGTGGCTCCAGCAGCCGGGCGTGGCCTCAGAGCGAGGAGGCAGGGGTGCAGGGTAGCACCCTTGGGTGCCTCTAAGTGCGCAGGGGTCTGCTCTGTCCCGAGGGACACCCTGGGAGGGGCGGGGCAGGGGGGCCATGGGAGCCCTGCCCGGGCGCAGGGCTGGCTTCCCTGAGCTCCGGGAGCCGCTGCTGAGAGCACAGCGAAGGACTGGGCCGGGGAGAAGTCCGTCTCGTCTCGTGTCTTTCCGTGAGATCGAAGGCACGCGTTTCGTTTCCACAGTAACTGTATTGATTCAGGCATTTTCAGTGTGTTGGCTCTGTCCCGTGTTACATGACGCTGATTGTTCTCAGTAATGTCTCAGTGTGATGGCCACCACCTTCGGCTGGTCCGCCCGGCCGGGGAGCACCGTCCAGCAGGAATCCCCAGCGCGGAACTGCACACACGGCTCCTGACGCCTTCGATCGCCACAGCACCTGCTCCACTCACCGCACGGCTGCGCGTTTTTGCCTTTCTGGAAGCAACAGGGCATCCCGGGCCAAAAGTGTCGCTTCTTTTCTTAAAATGGCTACACGGACATTCAGCGCTTTTGGTCAGTCTTTTGAAATGCACCCTGATGTGATGGCTCCCATAACACAGTCTCACAAAATCATTTCAAATGAAGTTAGAGACGAAGGCGTGCCACTAGAGCCGTCTTAAGGGAAAAAAAAACCACGAGTGAACTTTTTGGCCAGCCCAGCATCTGTGGACACCACCGGCGGCGGGGCCGTAAGGCAACCGACCTCAGGGCCCCGAGCAAAACACTCGCAAAATCCAGTGACGTCTGTCATCTCAGAATGTATGCTTGGGAAATATACTGGCTTCTTTTCTTTTTGCAAAATTTTACACATATACATATGGACAGAGAAAGAGAGAAAGGGGAGGGGGGAGAGAGAGAGGGAGAGAGAGAGGGACATCACTCTGTTGTTTCACTCACCTGTGCGTTCACTGGTTGAGTCCTGTACGTGCCCTGACGGAGGATCGAACCCACAAACTTGGCGCATCAGGACGACGCCCTAACCCACTGAGCGGCCCAGCCAGGGCCCCGGCACATCTCACCGTGGTCAGTGCACACAGAAGACAGAACACGTGGCTGGGGGAATCCTAAACTCCGGGCAGTGAGAGTGAGTCCCAGACGCCTCTGCGCACGGGGTCCGTCACTGTCTCGGTCCTGTGGGCTGAAAGGACAGGGTGTTGCGTGTGGTCGGCCCCCGATCTGGGGCTTTGTCTCAACTTCCCCTTCATTTTCCTGCTCATGTGGCCGCTCTGGTGGATGAGAAAACACGGGGAGGGTGATCTGAGAGCCAGAGGAAATTCCCAGAGGCCCTTTGAACAGCTCAGTTTAGCCGGACTGACCTGCCTGACCCCTAAGAGGCCGCTGGCCTGACCGACGTCCCCCCTCTGAGCCAGGCCAGAGAAGGACCCTCGGTTTGGTGACCTTCAGACCGCTGGTGGCTTCAGGGACTCCACGGCGGGGCCGCACCCCGTGGCCTCCACACCCATCCCGTGGTCCACACTGCCGCAGGCAGCTTTGGCCAGACACATCCCCGCTCGAGGCCCCAACCAGCACCTCTCGCCCTCCCTGGCCCCCAGTGGCTCCCAGCACTACACAAAGTCGAGTCTAAACACTGTGTGCCACCCTCAGGCCCGTGATAGATCCGGCTCCGCTGCCCCTCTCGCGGTCCGTGGGGTTGCATGGGCCACTCAGGGGCCCCTGCTGGGCCGGGCCCTCGGGGCTGGGGGTCTGGAGTCCGGGAGCTGGAATGTTGGCAGGGAATCCGGCCCCAGTTTTGGAGGCTGGGACGACTTCAAAGCGCCGTGCGGGCTCCGGGACACTCAGCCGCGGGGCAAACGCCGTGCAGACCGCAGCGCCGGCCCAGGCCCAGGACAGCCGCTGACCTTGGGCGCACATTCCTGCTGCGGACTTTCCTGTTCTTCCAGCTCCTGAGCCTCGGTGGGGGGGGGGGGGAGGGAGCGCACACCCAGGTAGCAGGCGGCACCCCTCCAGATGAAAAACCCTAGGGGAGGGCCTCAGAAAACCAGGAGAGCTGGCCAGCCACACCAGGCGCAGTCTCTGGGCCCAGTGGAAGCCAACAGAAAGCGGATGGCGGAGGGGCAGAGAGAGATACACGTGCGGTGAGTTCACTGGGAGGTGGAACGCGAAGACAAGCCGAGGGCAGGACACAGAACAAGCTCTCAGCTGAGCGGAGCACACTGACGACCCGCCGTGGGGGGGAGAGCAGGGGGGGAGGGGGGAATGTCCCGGGTGCGTCTGCGGCCTGGGGAACAGCGTCGGTGACGTTGTGACGACCTTGGGCCGTGAGGGGCCCCCGTTTGTGGGGTGTGCGAATGTGGAATCGCTACACCGTGCCCCTGCAGCCGATACAGTACTGTGTGCCGGCTGTGAAGTCGGTTTAGGGAAAGGACCCACCGTGCACTTTCCACACTGAAGTCGTGTCACCGACGACGGGGGCGAACCTGACCTCCCGCCTGACCGCTGCGGAGTGCACATGGTCTTCGTGCGCCCGTGGGGGTCAACCCCAATCCATAGTGTGCTGGGTCAAAGGGCACCTTCACACAGGCCAGACCACCGGAGCCCATTGGCAGCACGTCCTCTGGGCGCCGTGAGCGAGAGCCGGGGGGGACGCTGGGAAACGGTCACTAGAGAGTCCCCGACTCCCCGTGTGGTGTGGTGCAGGGCACGTCGCATCTCTTTACGGGTTTCTGGGTCACGGCACTGAGCCCCCCAGATGCTTGGGATCTCCCGAGAGGGTTGTCTTTTCTGCACGAGTCACTTTGGACTACACCCGAGTCAAAGCTCGTGAAGGGACCGCTGGGGGGCCCTCGGCTGGGACCCGGCCGGAGTCCCTGTGACAGAGGGAGCAAGCCCTGGCTAGAGGGCCAGAACCTTCAGCCGAGTCACCCGCGTGGCCAAGGGTGCAGCTTTAGTTCATCCTGACGGTGTCACGAAACCGAGGCCTAAACATCCGCACCCAGGGGCTCAGGGCAGTTTCTGGGCTGGCGAGCCCATTGGTGCCCGAGCAGGGTGGCTGCCCTGACCCCACAGGGGCAGAGGCTGCAGCTCTAGGGCCCTTCCGACCCCCCACCCCCTCATGTAGCTCTGCCTGGGAGAACTGTGAGCATTGGAGGGGAAAAAAGGAAGAAAGAGAAGAAACCAAGGACAAAGTAAATATCTGGAAAACCCTCGGATTTGAGAACCACATGCCACACACCCGAGTCAGCCAAATAAGCAGTCAAAGCAAAAATTAGAAAGTATTTTCAGTGGAGTGGGAGTGGAAACACCGTGTGTAGGTTCTGTGGGCCGCTGCAGCATCAGACCGGATGACCGCAGGGGGCAGGGAGTTCCTGCTAATAAAGGAGGCAGGGTCTCAAACCAATCACCTCCATTTTCATCTTAAAAAAAAACAGAAAAAAAGAAAGTGAACAACCCCCACTAAGCAGATAAAATAAAGATTGGAGCAGAAATTAATGAAATGATCGCAGACAAAGCTTTAAGAGGAAAACCCATGAAACCGAATGCCAGTTTTTCAATAAAATTGGCGAACCTCTAGACAGACTAATCAGAAAAAAAAGAGAGAGAAAAGAAACAAATGACTGATATCCGAAATGAGAGCGGGAACATTTCTGGGGGTTCTGCCGAGATTAGGAGAGAAACAAAGTTAACATCACGGGCAACTTTGTTCTAAAATGATTGACACTTTAGATAAAACGGACACATATCGAGAAAGACACAGACTGCCAAATCGCATTCAGGGGGAAGCCGCCTGAAACTCCTAATGGCCATTAAAGAGATTCAATTTGTCACTAACGAACTCCCCACAAAGGCAACCCCGGGCACAGATGGTTTCATTAACGAACTCCGCGAAACGTTTCGGGAAGGAAGAAGAGCAACTGGACAGAAAGTGCCCTGGAGAGTGAGGACGAAGGAGCTCCTAGTTCATTCAACGAGGCCAGCGCGGCCCTGATGCCAGGACCAGGGAAAGACAGAACAGGACGATCATAATTAAAACGAACATAGATGTAAAAAGTCTTAGCAAGTGAGATTCAACACTATGTAAAAAGATACATAATATGATAAAACCTAGGGGCCAGCGAGATTTGTCCTAGGAATAAACGGTTTAATTTGAAACAGTCAATCAATGTATTTTATCATGTTAATAAAACAAAAAAATAAAAACCATAGGATTATCTGAGTCAATGGAGAAAAATAAACCATGTGGTAAAATTTAAATATCCATTCCAGATTTTAAAAAGAAAAGAAAAGAAAAACAACACTCAGCAAAACAAGAATGTGTGTGAACTTCACGAATGTCACCTGTCAAGTACGTCCAGGTAAGTGGCAGCTGAGCCAGGCCGGGCCGGGGTGGCGGGGGGGCTGCCGGCTGGGCTCTGGTGGCGGAGAGGGACCTCCCACGGGGCTCCTCCCACCCTGTGACTCTGAGAGTCGACCACAAAGTAGCAGTAAAACTCTGGGTGACACTGCTCAGGCCACACCCCTCCTGAGGACCTGGCTCTCCTCGGCGTGACCGTGTCCCCTTCGCACCCAGCGATGTCGTGAAGTGGGAAGGTGACCCGAGCCAGACATTTGTGACTGAGCAGCAGCTAGACTGAGGGCAAGGTCAAACACGAAACACCCAGCGCAGAGAGAGCTGCTGGCGAAAGCTGCCACTTCTGGGACACCCCGAAGGTGAACCACAGTGACCGTGTCACAGACAGCCTGCTAATAAGCCTGGGGACGTGGGGACGAGTGGAGACACCAGGTCGTGGGCACAGATCTCCTCCTTCACAACAGTTAATTGCCTTGTTTTCTTGTCCTAGAAGACAGTTCGCTAAGGTGTGGGCTGTGCTCTCTCAGGGAGCGAGGGATTCAGCGCCGCGGGAGGTACTGACCCGCCCCGCACCTGCGGTTGTGCCTCGCGGACGGAGCACCCCGGACGGACAGCTGCCCTGGGCTCTGGGAGGAAGGAGGCAGCGCCAGCAGGGCTGAGAGCACCGCCGGAGGTGCGCGCCTGGAGGGTGGCTATCCAGGCAACGTCGATAGCCGGCGCAGCAGAGGAGGTGTTATTCGGGGGGGGGGGCCGGGGCCCAGGATTGCTCCTTGTCTTCTATCGACGACCTGGCTGACACTGGAAGGAAAGCACGCTCAGATCTCGTGCAGCAGGCACGCAGCTCTGTGGGGGCGGGGGTGGGGCGGGGTTTGCACAGGGGGCCCAGGGGAGTGGCTCTAATTCATACAGACGGAAGCACGCTGTGGCTGCCACGGTTCAGCAGCACGCGTGGCCTAGATTCCGTGGGCAGCGAACAGCTGGGGGAGAGCAGGGGAGCTATGAAGGAAGTAGAAAGTATTGTCTGCTGTCGGCAGTCGGCCGACTGGCCCGGAGCAAAGTCAAGAGCCCGGCGGAGAGGATGGCCCAGGAGAGCTGGGGTGTCCTTGTGCACCGCCCAGCACGCGGTCCTTCACAGCCGCGCACGCCCGGAGACCGGGAGGCAGCCGAGGGGCTGCCCAGGTGGGCCAGGTGTGGGCCACGCCCCGCGGGACCTGCTGCCTCTGGAGGTTCGTCTGGGCGGAGCCGAGGCCGGGCCGTCCCTCCCGGGAGGGTGTGCCCGCGGTGCTGCCCCGGAGGCCCTGATTATGTCACACCACACAAGATAAATAACCCGAGCGAGCGAAAGTCAACAACCCACCCTGTAAGGTCATGTAACGTGAATGCCCATTTAGATAAGAAGGACGGTTTACACGCAGAGGCCGCAGCCAGCGCTCAGCGTCAGCAGAGGAGGAAGAGCGGCAGCCTGCGGCTCCCACCGGTGGGGGCCTCACACCCGGAGACAGGAGCCGTCCTCTGTCCTGACGGCCGTGCGGCAGCCTCCGTCTTATACTGACTGTGTGTCCTGTGGCATCGAGACCAGCGAGGAAACAAAGTAGCAATCAGTGCACAGCTGTTTACATAGACAAGGCGTGTGCACCAGGTGGGGTCCCCTCTGTCTTTGCTTTCTCTTTACGGGGCTGTAACTCGCCGTAAAATTCACCCTGCAAAGTCCCTCTTGGCCTGAGGTTAGTCTGAAGCCCTTCTCAGCGGACGCACGAGGTGGCGGGAAACACCCCGTTTTATGGACAGAATGGGCTGGGTTGGCTTGACGAGCAGAAAGCTTCAACCCAGGGCCCAGGGCAGAGCTCCGATGGGAGTGCCTTGCTCCCTACACGGGCTGGTGGCTAATGTGGGCGGTGAAACTCCCCCCATAGAGACTTCTGCAATCAGGGTAAGTTCCGGCCTTTCTGGGGAGGCGTGGCACCACCTTCCGCCTTGGAAAGCGACGGGGTTAAGAATGACACCCCCTCCCCCAGTTGCCCACATCAGCAGGTGAATTATTTCGAGCTGAAGCCAAGGGAGGCCTTGCAGGCTCAAGAAACACTTTAATTCTTCCCCTTCGAGAATTTAAACTAGGGACTTTGCTTATAATAAGAGTTATCACTAGAATCAACTTTTTATGGCCCATCTGTAGGGCAGGGCAAACTGTTAATTGCTGAACATCTGTTCTTCTCGCCACCCTGTGGATGACCCTTGTCCCCCCTGAAGGCTCAGGGGCCTTCCTACCTGGTCCTCGGCTCCGGACGTCACACAGACGCCGCTCTAACTTCCTGTCCCTGACCCCTCCTGCACGTGGGCCCCCTGACCCTCCGGTGCCCGTGGGCTCCCAGACGGACGCCGCAAAGTCTGCTCGTGGTCTCCCATCCCCCGTCTCAGGTCTAACAGGCAGGGCCTCGAAGGGTTAAAGGGGAGTTCCTGCCTCCCCCTTCGTAGCTGGGCACCCCCTTTTCTCCCGCTCTGCGGCCGGAGGGGGAGACAGAATGCAGATGGCCATTCCGTGAGCATTTCCCAGATGGCGCCAACCCGCCCACAAAAGCCTTTTGTCTTCAGGCGCGCTGCCACCTGCCACCAGGTGTGGATGGCCCAGCGGGCTCACCAGTGTGCAAGCTGGTCCCCATTCTCTGCACAGCTCCCTGGGACCGGGGGTCCTCGCGCTCTCTGGGGAGCTGAGCTCCGCTGAGGGGGTGGGGATGCAGCCGGGTTCCCAGACCCCGGGTTCCCAGAACCCCCAGGCTGTTCACCCGGGCGGGCGGATCAAGCCCAGCCCCCTCTTATCTGGTTCGCTAGTAAATGCCATTCCCCACGGAGAGACAAGAAGCTGTCAGCTCTCGTTAGGCTGGCAACGAGCTTTCCACAATTTGCATTTCCCTCCCTGCGTCTGCAGCCACCCACCCGCCCGCCCCTCTTCCTTCGCCACGCCGCACCTCTGGAGAGGAAGGAATGCCAGCCCCTGCCTAGCAAAAATGTGCCACGTGCCCGCTCCTGGACAGAGTCCCCTGGCGGCAGCAAAAATACAAATAAAAGTAAAAATTATGTAGACAACGTTCTCCTCCTTCCCATCAAAGGAAAAGGAACCGGGAGAGGCAGGCAGGAAGCGTTGCTCCAGGGTTCAGGCTGCTTCCGCTTGGAAAAGAAAGCTTTCTGGCTACAGTGCATCAGCAGTGACGAAAGGAGGGGACCTTTGGAGCCTGGCGCCGTCCTGGAGCCCTCAGTGAAAGGGCTGGTATTTTCCTCACGTGACTGACCACTAGTCAGTTACGCTCTTTGGACATCTTTAAAGGATGTTAGGTTAGTGATTCTCGGTTTAACATCTGCACTTCGACACATTTCTCAGGTTGAATGTAACTTCTAACCACCTTCCCAGAGGCAGCTGCAGACCAGAAGGTTGTGGTGTTACGCTATGAAGGCTTCAGCAATAAACTCCCACAGAGGGTTTGCACGAGGGGTTAGACGCCAAGCTGAAGCACATGGTGGCCTTGGGACAGGGTCATTGTCCAAGGGGCTGGGCTGCCCAGTCCAGCAGGCCTTCTGCTTGCAGAATTCTGTCACTGAGTCACTTTAATGGCATTATACCCATCATGCCTCCCTAATAACTTGGAAAACCATGATCCTTTGTGTGTGACTTTATGTCCATGCATACATTTATACACATATATGTACATATGTTCAGCGGGCAGTGGGCACAGATCGAGGGCTCCCATTGGCTGAGCTCCTGAACAAGGGAGTCGCGTGACTCAGGTTCCACCTATAGAATGGGTTTATAAAAACGTCAGTCTCAGGAGCCACCCTAGGAATTAGATGAATTCCTCACATTGGTGGTGATGTTTGTAAAAGAGGCAGCAACAAAAATACAAAACACTGTCCTTGTTTTATGCTAAATACATTTAGAGGCCAACACTTTGGCTTACTCCATGGAGCTGCCGGTCAGCATGAAGACTGGGTGGCCAGCACCATTGGAAACCGGGTTATTATCTTAAGAACTTGGTGGGAACACATGGATACTTTGTACTCCATCCACTGCGTGAACTGTTTCCCATGGAAATTACATATTGTCCTGGGGTCTTATGACTGCGTATTCTTTTCAAACACAGAGTCTTAAGGAAATGTGTGTTTTTGCAGGTCTCATTACTATCAAATATAGCTCCACCATGAATTTTTAAACTCGATTTTTCGTTTGGGAATGCACCCGTGAGGGGGCACATATGAATTCTGTCTCTGTCTCCCATTTGCTGCGGGGCAACTGGAGAAGATAACGGGACATCAGATCTTTGACTTGTCTGGTCCAAGACAGAGTAATTAAACCCCACGGCTCGTGCGCATGTGCAGTTTGGCTCACCTCCAAAGAAAAGAGGGGTGGGTTTGGCTAGACAGGGGCAGTCGCGGACTTTGTCGATTCGCGTCGACGTGAAGAGAAGCGCGCACAGTGTCGTGCTTCCTGACGGAGCCCTCCGCGCTGGCCGGCCCTCCTCGTCTGGCCTCCTGCGGTCCCAAGTGTGCTCTCCGGCCGCCGACCGGCCGGCGGCCGGCGAGTGGGGACCGCGCTGAGCCTCAGGACGCCCGAGCGCACAGCATCCCGTGTCTCTTTCTGGATCCGATGTTCCCGCGACACACAATCCCGGCGGCCCAGGGGCAGGCTGCTCACGTTTCAGGCCGGAGCCGGCGGCACCTTCCAAATAAGGAGCGGGGCGGCAGGCTGTGCGTGGGGAAGGCAGGTGTGGAGTTTCCACCCCCGCGGAAGGACGTTTGGGACGCCCGGTGTCAAGTGTGCCCGGTGGCACCCTTTCCCTCCGGGAGACCACAGACACTCAGGGACGCGCTCGGCGGTCACTCCTTGGTCCTGAGTGCGTCTTCTCCTGAGACGGGGCAGCCCGCTTCTGGGCCCCGCCCGCGGGATGCACGGGAAGCTGCGCTTCATACCTGCCTGTGCTCACACCTCGCTTGCGGAGCGTGCCGGTGGTAATGTCTTCGCGCAGGCTGCCACAGGGCGCACTGGGCTCTGGGTCGCCTGCCCTCTGTGAAAAGGCAAATGGAACTGGAGGGCGGGGTTTGCGTTTGAATCCTGTTTGACACACAGCCTCTGAGCACCGGAGAGAGAGACTAGGGCCCAGTGCCGAAAACCTCTGAGCCTCACAGCCCCGTCTACGAAATAGGGACAAATAATAATGAAGACAGCCCTGGCCGGTGCAGCTCACGGATGGAGTGCCGGCCCGTGAACCTAAGGGTCGCTAGTTTGATTCCCAGTCGGGGCACAGGCCTGGGTTGCAGGCTGGGTCCCCAGTGGAGGGTGCGTGGCAGACAGCCACACGTTGATGTTTCTCTCCCTCTTTCTCCTTCCCTTCCCCTCTCTAAAAAACAAATAAATAAAATCTTAAAAAGAAAAAGAAGCTACCCCAAAGAACGGCCCGTCTGAGTGTGCCCACGAGTCTGGGGCCCGCAAACATCGGTGCAGAAAGAGCTGATACGCAGCAGGTGCGTACTTCAGAGCACCCAGAAAAAGGAGGCCACGGCAGCCTCTGGGTCTCCAGGAGACACGGTGGCCTTCAACCGCGGTGACTCCGTGGACTTGACCTTCAGACTGACACATGCCTCTTTCTCCTTTTTTTCTGGTTCTGGTCTGTGTCCCACGTCCAACAGGAGCACGGACGCCCCCTGCAGGCTGGGGTAACATTTCTTCTCCGTAGGGATACATCGCGTCCCA